GCCCACCCAAGTCCCCTCACTCCTTGTCCATCGCCTCCCGCCCTCCCCTCCCCTCACCATAGAGTTCCAGACATATTTTCCGATCAAGCTTTTATTTTTTTAAAAGTCAAAACAGAACAAAAGAAGAAATACAAAGAGACAGAGTTTGCAGCCTACCTGGAGGCCAGGGTGGTGGGGCTTAGGACGATGGCCCCAGGGTGGGCAAGGGTCTTGGGACTTTAGCCCACTGTCACATCTGCTCCACAGAGTCCACCAAAGAGTCTCCTGAGCCCTGAGGGATATCTTCTGGATCCTTCTACCCTGCCTCACTTTCCCGCCCCACCCCAGGCTGCCAGCAGCTACCCTCGTCACCCCGAGCCTGGCTTCCTCACCTCGTCCCTCCCTGTCCCTGTCTGCCACGATCCTCCTCTTAAAAGCCTCCTCCACACCCCAGGAAGGAGGCCTCCCGATCTTTAGTCTTCCACTCTGCCCTGGGGGTGCTCTTCTCCCAGCCCCGACCTTTTGGTCACCCTTCTCTGTGGAGGTTCCAGGGCCCTCTGGGCTTCCCCAGACGTGAAGGCAGGTGAGCCAGAGGAAGTGATGGTGTCCCTGGCACACGGGAGAGGGAAGGGAAGAGCAGATCCTCCGTCCAGGCCGTGCCAACCCTCCCAATGCTGGGCCCGTTTTGAGGATTGAAAACCCTGTCTGGGCCTGTGGCCGGAGGAGGGCTGATCCTCAGAGCCACTCAGCAGCTCACAGAGGCCCTGACCCTCTCCTAAGGCCTTGGTACTGGGCAAAGCGCCCCTCACCCAAGCCCAGGGCAAAGCCAGCAACAGTAGCAGCCTTCTCCCATTCCCTGGGGAAGAGGCATTGGCCACCCATCCCCCTTCCTTCATGGCCATCCAGAAATGCTCCCTCCCTCACTGTGTCAGCATCTGCCTTCGTGAAGCCAGTCTGCAAGGCTCTCAGCCTCCTTTTCGGCTTCTGTTACCTGGTCGACCTAGGAGACACATGGGCTCAGGGGGGCATCCAGGTCCCTTCTCACCTGGGGAGACACACAGCCTCGGGGGGCACCCAGCTTGGCACTGTAAGGGGAAGCCAGCAGCTCAGGCTGGCATGAGAAAGAAACTCTGGATGGTCACCGTATTTTCCTTGTCTCTTTTGGTTTTCCAACATTACCCCCTGAATGCTGGCAGCCCCCCACTCCCCTTTCTCTAAGCCTGGGTCTCCATTAAAGGACTCTGGGGGTGGGAGGGGACACAGGGCCCTTGTGGGTGGAAAGGGGATAGCAGCTCTCCTTGGGTGGGCAAGTGGGAAGCAGACAGGTTGGAAAAAACCCCAGGGGAGAATGGTCAGAGGCTGTTTATCCGGATCTTTGGGAACAAGGACCTGAGAAGTTCCATGCTCATAGCTGGTGTCTGCTAGGCCTCTGGGCCACAGACACCCTCTGCCCCCAAATCAGGTGGCCTTTTGGGCCTCCAGGGAAAGAGTATGTGACCCTGTGTTCTCTAGGACTCTTTAGCTCCCTGCTACTTCTTCTGACACTGTTAGGTCATGGACCCAAGCACTGGGGCTCTGATCCCCCTTCTCATGAGTAGGGCTGTGGCAGGGGCCTATGTTGGGCAGTCCTCCCTCAGGGCCATGAGCATGGCACCCTATGGACAGGGCTGCCAGCACCCCCCTTCCTTATCACTGTTTGCCCTAGGGGCTTCAGCTGCAGCCTAGGTTGGGTCCTGGACCCCTCAGGACCTGAAGCAGGATTCAAAGCCCTCCTTTTTCCATAGTTCCTCCTGCCTCCCCAGCTGGCAGGAGTCCTTCACCCCTTACCATCACTCACACCCCAGAAAGGCAAGAAGCCGCCATGCCTGCACCTTGGGGCCTGGGCTCCCCCTCTGCACCAGCGGCTTCCCAGCACCTGGGGAGGAGCTGCGGTCCTGTCTAGACCCCAGGCCTGCCCCTCCCCCAGTACACTAGCTGCCCACTCCTGGGCAGGGACTGGAAAATCTATCCCTTATGAAGAATCACCTTCAGTGACCCCATTTGGGACCAGACTTGGTCCTCAAGCGCCTCAGCACCACGGTGCTGAAGGGTCTCCCCCCTGGAAGTCCCTAGAGCCCTGAGCCCTGAGCCAAGCCCCACCTGTCCGTCACTGGTGTCAGGGCACTCAACCTTGGGCTGGACCATACCCCTCGCCATGTCCACACCCCTCCTGGACTCCCCAAGGGCCCCGTTGATGCTGCACGAGACCCTGCAGGGCTCGGTCAGTGACATGTTTCGTCCCCTGTTAAACCACGACCCTGTAGCCTGGTTCCGGGGAGGAGCCAAGGCTGCCCTGCCACCCGCCCGCCGCCACTGCGTCTGCCGCCCTAGGCTTCCTGACTCCATTAGTTCCAGACACTTGTGAAACTCCGAGAGTGCTGTGGCCTCAGCAATGCACCTGTTTTGTACATGATTGTGTAATTGAAAGGTCTATAAATACAAATATATATATATATATATCTATATCTCAGTTGTGACTGTATGGCTGTGGATAAAACCAGAATTCTGTCAACCTGGCTGGACTTGTCATCTGAATCGTGTGCATTTTTAGTTCTGGGGGTTTGTGTGGGTCCTTGGAAGGATCTCTGTGATGAAGCTGTCTGTCCTGGGTGGGGTGGCCCTGTGCAAGGCTAAGTGCTGACCAAGCTGGGCAGTTGAGGGCCCACGTCTTATCCAAAGGAGGTTGCTAAGGCTCTGGCCTCAGGTACAAAGTGGCAGCACTGACCGGTGGACCTGGGCATTTAAAGTCCCAGACTTGAGGCTCCAAGGCAGAGGTGTGGCCCGTTGGTTCTTGTCTAACATGTGAGGTTGTTTCCATACCAGGTACCACCACTGATAAATAAACAGCCAAATTCGTGGTTCAAGGGTGAACTGGATCTTCAAATAGTTCTGAGTTTTAACAGGGGAGTTCTAAGAAGCCATTGCTGAGGCCCCCCCATGGGGTGACAAGGTCCTCTTGCTCCTCTGCTGCTTGCCCCGCTGTGAACACATTTTGTAGGAGGCCTCCTGGGAGCATCTGCCCTGGCAGGATTCGGAGCTCAGCTTGCCACGCCCTCCCAGGCCCATCCTGGAACTCTGATGCCCACTTGCACCCCAGCTGGGTCTTTTCTGAGACCCACGCCCCCTTTCCCCTGCCTCAGCTCTCCCAGTCTGTGGGGGTATCAGAGGCTCTTCTGACCCTGGCAGTCTGATAGGGCCTCACACAAACATAACCCCTGCACCAGCAACCCACCCCAGGGTGCACACAGCACCCACCCCAGGGTGCACACAGCACTCCCCCCCCAGGGTGCACACAGCACTCCCCCCCCCAGGGTGCACACAGCACTCCCCCCCCAGGGTGCACACAGCCCTCCCCCTCCCAGGGTGCACACGGTGAGAGGAGGTGAGGCTGGCATGGCCATCATCTGCCTCGATCTCCTAAACCCATCCGTAGCTGAAGCTCTGCTCTTCCCCGACAGGACTCTTGTTGCGTATTCCTTTCATTCTCCTCCTTCATTCCTTTAAACAGTTTGTTTACATTTTTATTGAATGTGTGTGAATGTTCCAGAGACCCAGCAACCAAGAGCATGCTTTGAGCGCACATGTGCTTCCTGTGGAGGGCAGTGGACAACCTCCGGTTTCCTGGCAGGACCCTTTACAGGCTGCGCCATCTCACCGGCCTGCCTTCCTCCCCCCTCCCCCCTTTTCCCTTCTCCCTCCTCTTCTTCCCTTCCTCCACACCCCTCCCCTTTATTCATTCCTTTCTTTTCTTTCCTTTGCTGAAACTAGAGTCTCACTAGGGCTGAGGAGTTTGCTCAGTGTTTAAGAGCACTGACTGTTCTAGCAGAGGATCCAGATTCAATCCCCAGCACCCACATGGCAGTTTACAACCTTCTGTAATTCCAGTCCTGGGGATCCTACACCCTCTTCTGACCTCCGAAGGCACTGCATGAATGTGGTGTACAGACATATGTGCAGGCAAGACACCCATATGCATAAGTAAATCTAAAATAAAATGATAAAAAACAGTCTCATTTAGCTGGCCTCTAACTGGCTGTATAGCTGAGGGTGACCTTGAACTCTTGCCTCCTGTTTCCAAATGCTAGCATTACAGGCTCAGGCCTCCATGCCCAACCCAGGAATCTTAGAGTCAAAGTGGTGGCCGCTTAGCCACACAGGCTGTTACAGTTTGTTTGGGGGAGCCTTGAAATGAGGCTTCTAAAAAGGGGATAGGGGCCGGGCGGTGGTGGCACACGCCTTTAATCCCAGCACTTGGGAGGCAGAGGCAGGCGGATCTCTGTGAGTTCGAGGCCATCCTGGTCTCCAAAGCGAGTTCCAGGAAAGGCGCAAAGCTACACAGGGAAACCCTGTCTCGAAAAAACCAAAAAAAAAAAAAAAAAAAAAAAAAGGGGGATAGGAAACGTCTTGCCCAGGTGAGGTTCTAATTGGGACGCACCAACAGAGGAAGGAGAATCCATGGTTTGCTGCCAGCTCACGAGGTGTCACTGGGTGGATGCAGCTGCCTGCATGCTCCTTGATGGAAGCTGCTCCTCTGATCTCCCATACCTCCCCTAGGTGGAGCTGTTCCTGCTCCCCAATACCTCTGCCCATTTGAGAAACCCCCAGCCCTACAACTATCCGATACCCCAGCCCATTTGAGAAACCCTCAGGCCTGCCTAAGCTTTGAGCCTGGCCCAGGCACAGCTGGGACATCCAGTGTGATTTTCAGGGACTCCTGAGGGGCAGGATGGGCTGGCTGGAGACAAAACCAGTTTAACAGAGCACTGAGCCTGCCTCTGGCCAGGGTCCCAGTCTGCCTCTTCCCTGGGGATGGGAGACAGCTGGGGCCTAGCAAGGCAGAGGCCTGGGTAGATCACACACACACACACACACACACACACACACACACACACACACACACACACACACCTCCTGTCAAGTCCAATCCCGACTGACAGATGCCAAGGCGCTGTTTGCTCTCTGTCAGGGGTAAACATTCTTCAGGAGACAATAAAATTGCTGGGGGCAGAAGGCAGGGTACAAGATGCCTTTAACCCTTAGTGGTCCAACCTGGCGAGGTGGCATACACCTTTAATCCCAGCACTCAGGAGGCAGAGGCAGGTGGATCTCTGAGTTTGAGGCCAGCCTCGTCTACAGAGTGAGTTCCAGGACAGCCAGGGTGGTTACAAAGAGAAGCCCTGTCTCAAAAGACAAACACCAAAAAACCCCTTGGTGCTCTGGGTGCTGCTGGCTCCCTGACCTTTCTCCTAGAAGATTGGCCTCAGAAGCTAAGGGCTGTGGGGCTGAGGTGCCAACTTGTTTAGGAAGGAAAGGCAGGGAGACTCCTGTCCTTGGAGGGACAGTGTGAGCTCAACTCCCGGGCCTGGCATCCATAGCTGTGTGACTGTGAGCTAATTGCTCGGTCATCCTGGACTTCTGATTGGCCATGTGCAGAATAGAGAAGTGACCCTGACTTCATGATTTTGTTGAGAAAATCAATGACAAGGAGTGGGCATGGCCAGTGCATGGCAGGGCCTCAGGATGCCTGATTTGGGCAAATAAACCAGGGACATGTGATACGCTGAGTTGCTCAGGAGAATGAGCAGATGCATGCCCAGCTCCCCACACTCAGGTGGCTCTCATGCCCAGGTAAGGGACACAACTCCATGGATGGATCTTGGGAAGTCTTTGGGGGACAGAGACTGAAACCTCAGCATCCTTACAAAGCTACCGCCCCATAAACAGCCTGAATCGCCCACCGTCTCCCACTGTCCACCATGTGACTCAGCTCTCTAGGGTGGCCAGGCAAATAAAATAGCTCTGGGCCTCTTGCAGGAGAGCCAGACCCCTGGCACACCTGGTCACACCTGGCGACAAGCCCTGCCCTTCAGCAGAACAGGTGCAGAGGCTGCCTTCCTTACTTCGGGCCTGTGTACAGATGCTCTCCAGCCTGGCCCACTCCTGCTTCAGCCCTGCCCGGTTGAGGAGGGTTCAGTGGCTGGCTAGACTAGCTACTTTGGCCTGGAGAACTCTCTGCCTCTCCATGACTTCTACCAAACAGCTACCGTTTTTTCTCTTAGGCTCGGCTCCATGACACCTCCCTGGGCAAGCTTTCCTTGTGATCACCAACCTGAACACCCGTGACCACAGTCACCTTTAACCACTCCTGGCCTCTTGGCTGTGCCGTCCACAGCCAGACACTGGGGACCTGTCAGTTGTCTTGTATCTTTATTATCCATTCCTAGGGCGCCCCCGGCTCCCCAGCACGGTGCAGACATCTCTGAGCACCAGGCCAGTTATGGCACAGGGTGGTGGTAGAAACAGAAGGCAGTAACATCACCGTCCTGTGAGTTGCCTTGGTCCAGTCCCTGCTTGGTGGTTCCTCCAGGAATCTCACAGTCCAAGCCTGGGTGGGGGAATTCTCCATTTGTGAGCAACCCTAGCTCCCTTGACCCTCCAGGGGCCTGTGTACTTGAGCAGTATGACCTGAAGAGGGACCCAGAGAGCTCATGTGTATCCCAGATCAGTGACTGTCTCTCCGTGACCTTGGCTTCTGGAATGCCAGCAGCCTGGATTCATATTGGGCAGAGCCCTGGGCAGCAGAGAGCGGCCTCTGGCCTCTGTGGCTCTCAGACGGGATGTACAAACTGGTAGACGAGGCGCTGAGAGATGTCAGGTTTGCGGATGATCCCCTTCTTGTAATACTGGCGGATGGAGCGACTTAGCTTATCATAGTTCATGGCCGGCCGGTTCTTGCGCACACCCCACAGCCGGGCCACCTGGGCAGAGTCCTCAATTTTGAAGATGCCTGGGGGAAAGGAAAGTGAGAGGAGAGGGGGAGCATGTGGAGAGCGTGAGAAGAGAGACGAGATCATCAGTCACTTTTGGGGGAGGCATAAGAGACAAAAGCTGGGGCCCTCTTCAGCCCTCGGCCCCAAGGACAGGCCATGTGACTCAGCAAACATCTTCTCTCCTTTCTTTCTTTCTCTCTCTTTCTTTCTTTCTTTCTCTCTTTCTTTCTGAGACAGGGTCTCTCTATAACCTTGGCTGTTCTTGAGTTCTGAGATTAAAGGCATGTGTCACCACACCTGGCATTAGCAAATATATTTCAATAATTTTTACCTTTATTACTGGCTGAAATTCTAACTTACGTATAGTATTAGGTCAAATGCAGGTCGAGGACCCCTAATCTGACATTTGGGGTCCGCACTGCATCACAGCTTGGAGTTTTAGGATTTGGGAATATTTGACAGGCTTTCCTGGCCAGAAATCCATGACAGGGTTCTAAAGAGCTCACGTTTGGGGAGCATTTAGGAATTTTATATTAAAGGTCAGGCAATATCATTAAAGTGAAACTCACTTGTTTTTAAACATTTCGATTCTGGACCTAGAACATTTAATGTCATATATGGGACTCACATTGTGTTTCTGATAAACACCCTGAGTCTCTAGGTTGAAGCTATGATTTTTCTTGTTATTAATTTTTTACATTTATTTATTTATTGTTCATGATCATGTGAGTGTGTGTCAGCAGACACATGCCCCAGAGTGCCTGTATGTAGAAGTCAAAGACAATTTGCAGGAACTGTTTCCCTTTCCATCCCATAGGGATTGAACTCAGGTCTTCATCTTGGTGGCAAGTGCCTACCCTCACTGGGCTGTCTCACCGGCCCCCAAAACATGATGTTTTCTGGTTTTTAAGATTTTATAAAGATTTATTTTATTACATCATGTGTATGAGTGTTTTTGCTTGTGTGTCTGTAAGTGTGTGCCTGGTGCCTGCAGAGGTCGGAGGAGGGTATCAGACCCCTGGTGCTGGAGTTAGAGAGAGTCCAGAACAGCTATGTGGTTCTGGGAATTGAACCTTGGTCCTCTGCAAGACTAAAAATACTCTTAACAACTGAGGCGACTTTCCAGTCCTGTTTGTTTTTTTGAGACAAGCTCTCTCTATGTAGACTAGGGTAGGCATAAAATTCACCACCAGCCTCTGCCTGCCCAGTGCTGGCCTTAAAGGCCTGAGTCACCACGCCCTGCTGAAGCCATGTTTTCCATTGTCAGCAGCAAATACTCTCAAGTTCATACTGTGTTCCAGACACTGTGAGGTGCTGAAGGAGTCTCAGTACCAGGGTGAAGTCTGGTGGACGGGGCAACGAGGATACAAACAGCACCCTAAACCTTAGAATCCTTGGAGTTGGAGGGGTGCAGATCTCTGAGTGACATTTGGCACAGGGTGAAGGCGGAGTCAGTCTAGGCCACACCCCCAGTGCCTCTCCCTGCTGGAGCCACGCCCCAACCCCGCCTCAATCGGAGTTCCGCCCATGCTCTCCAGCCCTGCTAAAGCCCTGCGCCCATCACCTGTCGCACCTCCGCCTACAGAGGCCCCGCCCCAGCCCTGCCCACGCTCTGTGTAGGGGTTCCATCCCACAAAAACCTCACCTTTCCTGCCCTCCCCACCCTGTCCCTCATCTAGAAGCCATGCCCCAACCCCGCCCCTCCCCTCTCAGCAGTCTGAGCCCCGCCCACAAAGCCCGGAGCCCCGCCCTATATAAACCCCACCCTCCCGCTCTGGCCCCTCCCACCACAGACCTGTCCCTCTGACAGAAGTCACGCCCCCTTCCAGCCCCTCCCCGCCCTGGTGAACGTGTCCGGCGGATCGTACCTTTCTCCTTGTTGAGCCAGCGGATGAAGCGGCCGTAACTGTGGGGCTTGAGCAGCAGCTCTTTGAGGAACTGCCACAGGTGGATGGGCTGCCCGGAGCACGAGGAATCCACCTCGCCGTCTGTCCAGCCCTCCTCGCTGGTGGAGGCTGGAAGCCAGGGGGGCAGGGTGAGTGGCCGCTGCGACCACCCGCTTCCCCAGGCAGCCTCCCTCAACCCCACCAGGCCTTCCTGCACCTGCCCGGCTCACCGCAGTAGTGAAGGGCCCCAGGCAAGGTCCTCTCCTTCATCCAGGCCGCTGTGGGACAAGGAGGGGAGGTTGGATGACTCCCTGTGGCTGGGGTCCTACAGCTCCCTGCCTCTTGCCTATCTAGAGTAACAAGGTGCTAACAAGGGGGTGAGGATGTCAGAGCTGCGACCGCGTCGCCCCCATGTGCAGGGGCTTCCCTTTGCGCACTGAAATGGGACTGGGACGCCCGTTGGAGCTGTGGCCAGGCAGCAGGTGCTGAGGGAGGCCTTAGCGTTTGCACCAGGCCTATCCCTCCAGCCATCCACTAGGCCACCCCCTCTGCCCACTGCTAGGCCATCAGCCAGGGACAAAGCTCAGGTCACATCCACTGGCCAGGCACCTGGGCTGGGGCAGGCGCTGACCACTCAGAGTCCCCTGATTCATCCCAGACCTCTAAGAAAAGGGGCCTTGACCCAATGAGCAAACACAGAATCCTCCAAAGTGCCAAAGAGGAAAAAAAAAAAGCAGGCAACAGTGCTGTGTAAGTGTGTAAACACAGGTGTGCCATCACTCGTGTGGAAGTCAGAGGACAGTTTGGGAGATCCATTCTCTCCTATCATGCAGGTCCCAAGTTGTCAAGCTTGGAGACGAGCAGCTTTATCCACTGAGCCCCTGATAGTCTTCATGATTTCTTTAATAAAAAATAAAGCTAACCTTAAAAAGGGGCTCCCTTTAGAAGGAAAAATAAGAGCTGGGCGTGGTGATGTGTGCCTGTAATCTCAGCACTTGGGAGGCAGAGGCAGGAGGATTGATGCAAGTTCAAGGCCAGCCCGGTCAACATAATGGCCTGGAGCGAGGCGGGACTCGGCCTGTGCTGTTTCCTGTCTCACCTGACTTCCAGATGTCCAGGTGTGCATGCAGCACATCCCCGCCCAAGGGTGCTCGCTGACGGAACTGCTCCTCCGACATGGCGCAGAGCTCCTTGCCGCCCAGCTCCTGGAAGGCCTTGCCGGCTGGAGGCAGCCGGTACTGGTGTTCTGTCCACAGCAGCCACTTCTGCACGTTACCAGGGCTCCAGTCCCCAGGGTCTGGGCAAGAGACAGCATCTTCGCTCAGGCCCGCTGGCGGGCACCACCCCAAAGGCAACTGTCCATGGGGGGATGGAACACCCATGGGGCTTTGTTGTCCGGGACCACGCACTCCTCAGGGTGGGGACGTCCAGAGCCTTGAGGAGCCCCAGGGTGGCAGACACTTCCACAAAAAAGGAAGTGAGAAGGAAGAGCCATGGCCCTAACACAGGCTTGCGGCCTCCGTAACCCCATCATGCCCAGGTGTCTGTTCAGCCCCCCCAGGATGCCTTTCTAGAGACACTAGCTCTGAAGGGGACAGTGACATTCAGTCACAAACAGCCAGATACCTCTTGCCTTCCACAATCTTCTCAAGGGGAAAACCCACCCAGGAACCCCTCCATCCTGGAATTTTAGAGATGAAGAAACTGAGGCCCATGAGGGGAGGGGTGCATCCCTGTCCTGTGATTAGCAAACAGTCAAGTTCATAGCAGCTGCCCCAAATGGCTACGGATCAGCTAAGGGTAGAGAAGGGATTCACCAGCTGTGTGTGTCCCCTGGGAGACTGCTCTCGGGGGCACACAGCTGGAACCAGACTGGGTCACAGTGGCAGTGAGGCCTCCAGAGAACGCTGGTTCAAGTCAGTGTCCCAGGTGAGTGACCCGCAAGCGAGACCGCTCCCACCTTGTAAGGCCATTTTCCTCCTTGAGGTCAATGCAACTTGTTTCTGTCCCCATTGTTCTGAGAGTACAGCCCTCCCAAGCCGCTATGGGGGAAGAGGAGCCGTGGGAGAGCCTCCTGGGGTAGGGCTCTCCAGAGTGTGGGAAAGTGGAGAAGAGGAGCTGTGGGCAGGAGCTGCCTTGAATGGGGGACACCACCTGGGAGCATCTAAGCAGATTCATGGGGGGTGGGGGCGAGGCATGCAGGAGCTGAGTGCGAGGGGCAAGAGAAGCTCCTCCCTCCCATTAGAATGCTACAGGGTGGAGGCCAGGACTCCCTGCCCCCCAGCCATCCCACCTAGAGCACTGGCTCCATGACACACCCCAGACCAGGCAGGCGCGAGTGCGTGCACGCGTGTACACACACACACACACACACACACACACACACACACCGTCTGTTCCTTGGTATCCCCTCCTCGTCACATCCTCTTCCCTACCAATTGATTGGGCCACATTGAGCTGTTTAATTATGACCCATCATGCTGGCTCCACACACAGAGGGACCTCTATGCCCTGTTCATTGTTTAGTCCCCCAGTCCCGGAAGGGTGACGAAGTCAATCAGTGGTTGCTTACTGAAGACCTCTCACGTCCAGTGCTGTCTAGGAGCTGGGGTACCCAAATCCTTTAGTGGGGTACAGACAGCAAGCGAGGTGGGAACAAACGTGCTCTCGGACCTTTCAATTGTATCGTGAGAGCAAGAAAATGGGGGGAGCCAGAGGTGGGGTGCGGGCGACAATCTCATCCGAGGATCAGTGGTCTCATGGGGTTGCTGCCAGTTAAGACCCGAAGGCGGCCAGGGACGGGCTGAGGAGGATATCTATGGGAAAGCATTCTAGGTTGAAGGTCCAGTAGGTGCAAAGGTCCTGGGGTGAGGAGACCAAGCGGCTGGAACAGAGTGATGGGCGAGGGGAGCTGAGTCCCAGGAAAGGTGGGAGCTAAATGGAACAGCACATGAATGCTTTTTATCCACTAAGTGAGGGCAGGTGTGGTTGGGCCTGGCCCTGGCTCCAGCAGCTGTGTGTCCTGGGCTGCCCAAGGTGATCGGAGTCCATCTGGCAGATCCCCACCCTGCGAGTATCCCCGGTGGAGGTGGCAGGGAGGGTCTCACCTGCTGTGATGTTGAGCAGCTTGCACGCTGTCTCGATGTCCTTCAGGACCTCGCCCACCACCATGGACTGCACCTGCTCTAGCGAGTGTTCATCCAGGCTGCTCGCCGAGGCCTGGCTGTCGATGACCGGACACTGCTCAGGCTCCTCCAGTGGCTCCTCCCTGGCACCGGCCTCGGGGACCTTGGCTACCCAGCTGCCATCCTCAGGGTACATGTTAAAGTAGGAGAGGTAGAAAGCAGACAGGCCCTGCTCAGGGGTGGCGGGAGGGCTGGGGCTCCATTCTCGCTTCTCAGGACCCACTGCTCCTGCCTCCGCCTTCTCCACACCTGTCCGCAGTACCACATCTGGGGACAGCAGCAGGCAGCCAGGGGACACATTGCTCAGGCCTGGGCTGGCGCTGCCCATGCTGCTGCTGAGGCTTGTGGCTGTGTCTGTAGAAATCAGAGAAGAAGGAAGGTGGGTCTGATGGCTGCCCTGACTCTGTGGGGGCCACTAAGCTGGTTATAAGACTCAGGACTCAGCAGGCAGTGGGCTGGGCCTGGGAGAGGCCTGGAGGCTTCTGGGTCACTGGGCAGTGAGTCCAGGGCTGGCTGGAAGACAATAAGGTGGATGTGTGGGCAAGATCGGGCCTGGGCAGGTGGAGGGGCAATTCTTTTTAAGGTCTTAGGTAGCACAGGATGGCCTAGACCATCCATCGGTCCTCCTGCCTCTTGTAATTCCTTAGTGCTGGAATTGCAAGTGCGTAGCACCTGCGGCTGTGGGAAGGCCCGGGGCACCTTCATCCATCTCTGGTCACTCTCGAGGGCCCACTGTGCAGCTGGCTTTTGCCACCACAGGAGCAAAGGAAAAGGCCCAGACTGGAAGAACCCTTGGGATTCTTCAAGGGCTGCAGCTAACTGGTCTGAAAACGTCCCACAACTCAGGAAACGACTTCCTGTTCTTTTGGACTAGCAAAACTTGATGAATGCAGCCGAGATGAATTTCAGCTCTCTCCCCACCACCCCTGGCTCAGTACCCGCCCCCCCTTGCTCAGTGCCCACCCCCCTTGCTCAGTGCCTACCCCCCCTTGCTCAGTGCCCACCCCCTTCTCAGTGCCCACCCCCTTGCTCAGTACCCGCCCCCCCTGCTCAGTGCCCACCCCCCTGCTTAGTGCCCACCCCCCTTGCTCAGTGCCTACCCCCCTCCCCTGCTCAGTGCCCAGCTCTCCCACCCTCCAGCACAGCCCTGCAGGCTCCTGCAGGGAGAGAAAGCCAACAGAGGAGGAGAAGGTGTTGCCTCTGGTTCCAACTCTTCCTTTCAAAGAATCCTTTAAGTAACAAGGAAGAAAAGGTTAGGGTGGGTGGAGTGGGCAGGGATGGGGGGGTCTGGAGTTTCGGGGGACAGAGGGCAGGCCTGGATTAATTTCAAGTCCTTCTGTGCAAACATGCGTGTGTGCCATGGGCCCTTGGTGTTTACCAAGGCAGTGTCCACAGCCTGCTCTGCCCGAGTCCCCACCCTGGCCTGTGCCCACACCCTATACCCCAGGTGGTGACCCCACCCCAGGAGAGCCTTCTCCAATTGCCATCCCTCCTCTTTCACCCCTCGGTGGCCTCCCGCCCCATCCACATCCCCAGCAGCCCCACGGCTGCCACGTTAGGACAGTTCCTGCCAGCTCCCTGGGCCCTGTGCCCAGCCGCTAGCTTTTCCAAAGGGCAGGAGAATTCGATTCTCTGTGGCCTTGTGTTTGCCTGGCCTCAGCCACAGGTGTGTGTGGGGAGACAGGTGCTGGGGTCCAGGTACTGTGGCAAGAGGGGCCAGATGGGCCAGTGCTGGCCTGGGTACTATGTAATGCCACATCCTTACCTCATCTGTTGAGTAGGCTTTGTGGCCCTGGCACCCATATCCTCCCCAGGGGGAGGCAGCCCAAACTCCTTCTTACCCCTGTTTTACTGGTGGGGCAGTCAAGGTGTAAAGGAGGCCGGCTGGACCCTTCCTCAGCAGAGACTCCCCTCTCTGCTTTCCAATGCCCAGCGCTCCCCTGACTGAACAATGGACCAACAGCGAAGGAAAGGGCCCCTGATGCCTGGGGCCTGGTAGCTTGGCTGCAGCTGGACTGAAGCAGGAGAAAAGGCTGTCACAGAGAATGCAGACACTGGCATGCCAGGGCCTCCCCCCCCACACACACACACACACTGTGCTGGATAGTTTTATGTCAACTTTTCTTTTGGTTTTTCGAGATAGCTCGAAAAACAGGCTTTGGAGCTTGTCCTGGAACTCACTCTGTAGCCCAGGCTGGTCTCGAACTCACAGAGATCCGCCCGTTTCTGTCTCCTGAGTGCCGGGATTAAAGCCACGCGCCACCGCCCAGCAGTTTTAGGTCAACTTGACACAAGCTAAAATCATCAGAGAGAAGGAGCCTCAGTTGAGAAAATGCCTCCATAAGATCTGGCTGTAGGCAAGCCTGGAGGGCATTTTCTTAATTAGTGATTTTTGGGGGAGAGCTCAGCCCATGGTGGATGGTGCCATTTCTGGGCTGCTGGTCCTGGGTTCTATAAGAAAGTAGGCTGAGCAAGCCATGGGAAGTAAGCCAGTAAGCAGCACCCCTCCATGGCCTCTGCATCAGCTCCTGCCTCCAGGTTCCTGCCCTGCTTGAGTTCCTGTCCTGACTCCCTTTGATGATGAACAGTGATGTGGAAGTGTAAGCTGAATAAACCCTTTCCTCCCCACATTGCTTTGGTCATGGTGTTTCCTCACAGCAATAGTCACCCTAACTAGGACAGCTACCCACAGCCTTGGGGACGTGGAATAGGGTCTCCCCTCACAGGTGAAGATGGCCAGGCTCAGGAGAGTGTAACCTGCCTGTGTGTGGGCTCTGTTCCTTGGACCACAGTCTCTTTAAGACACCTGCTCTGACCACCTCCCTCTTCCGGGGTGTCTTGCCACCTCCCAGTTGGGTCCCTTCCTCCTCCAAGGTTCATCTTCTGCTCTTGGCTGCTCACCCCACCCCAGGGTCAAGTTCATTTCCTTCCGACACCCTTTTATCAGACTCCTCTGTTCAAGAACCTGGCAAGCATGGCCCCTACTGCCGGCCTGGCCCCAGGGGCTGGGATGTGGCTCGGTCGGCAGGGCACTTGCTCAGCATGCACGAAGCCAGGGGTTCTGTCTCTAGCGCTGCATAGATGAGACTCAGAACGAGGGAAGCTGTGTGGCAGCGGGAACCGCCACGCAGCACATTCTCCTCCCGTCCAGGCTCTGATGAGGCCGACACTTCTGTTCCCTGCACTGGACGCCGTCGTGGTGGTATTTTCCCTATGTTACTGTCCTCTTTCCCAAGATGTCGTGTCTTTCTCATCCCAAGCTCCCTAAGCGTCCACCCCCATGGAGTCCTTCTCATGTCCCCCTTTCTGATGGCCCACCGGTGACTGGCAACTTAGTCCGTGACTAAATCCTCAGAAAGCCATCTGCCTGTGGGAATATGAGGACTTGCAGGAGGCTGCAGGTCAGGGGGTGGCAGGGAGGGACCCAGACACACGCTGAAGAATCAGGACCTAACCAGACACCTGCTCTGTAGACCTGAGGTCCCAAAACAAGCCTGAGGTCTGCCGGGGCCTGGCGTGTTGGACAGAGTCTACTCTCTGTCTCTCTCAATTGCCCAGGGCTACAGTCTCCTGAGTGACACCTCAGGTCTCCAAACCTCGAGCTGATCTTGGGGGGTAAAGCCATGCGTCTGGATTAAGGCTCAGTGGGTCTGGCTTGCTCTTCCCCCAGAAGCCCTGGCTGCCTCTCCAGACAAAAGCAAGCTTGGTGACAGCTGGTGCAGGCCGAGTCAGTAGGCAGGGCCACACCAGAGGGTTAGCGGATAGAGCTTCATAGCTTGGAGTCCAGCCCTCAGTACCTCCTGTCCCCCAGGACGGTGAGTGAGGGGAGGCCACAGAGGGACCAGTGGTGGAGACTGAGTGCAGCTGTTTCTGGGTACCTCATTCCCTTTGGGGCTCCTTTGCCCCCATGTCCTCTGTTCATATCCAGTACTCCATCCTCAGGGAGTGAAGTTGCCCAGGAGGCCCTTATGAAATGCCTGGTGGCCGGGTGTTGGGAGCCCCTGTTCTCTATATCTTGTGGTGTTCCTTCTTCCAGACCCAGCCTCCTAGGGATGGTGGCAGAACATGGAGATGTAGCATGAAAATGCCTTAGGCCACCCCCCGTCCTGAGACCTAATCTTAGTGGCCGAGATCCCAGGACCCAGCTTCAGGCCCTGGGGAAGTAGCACTGAGGGACCTCAAGTGAGGGAGGTTACAGTCAGTCATCATCACCCCCTGCCCAGTCTCTGGTGGCCTCACAAGAGGTCTGGCCCTGGCTGTTGGCTACTCCCCAAACCCTGCCAACCTCTGAACCCCTTAAATAGGCTAGAGGCAGGGTATGGGGCAAGACTAAGACCTGTTGAAGAGCCCCACAGAGTATGTAGGTCCCTTACACCTGCACCCCAATACCCACCAGCTTGTCAGCACCTTGGAGAGAGCCAGACCAGGCTAGGCCTCAGGGAGCCTCAGGCTTGCAGGCTCCAGTCTCCCTCTGGCCTGCCACTCCCTTGCCCATCTCCGCCTTTCAAGACCTCCTCCCCGGGACCCAGCAGCCTTACTCCTCATCACAGCCCTCCAGGTGAGCTGGACTCAGGCCTTCCCCTCTGCAGCGCCCTGAGTGTTGGCCTTGACCTCTCCCCACCAAACAGAGATCCCACTACCCCAGCGTCGTCTGAGGTCGCTTTAGGCCGCATGGGACCTTGTCTTTAAAAAACGAGAGGGAAGTGAGAGGAGAGGAGAGACAGAGCTGAGTGTCCCCGGAATCTGTGTTCACAGGTTCTGAAAGGCTCCCATCCGACGGCAGTTACTGTCTGCCTGTCCCTGCTCCCCGCCGTCAGCAAGGCCGCAGCCCAGGCGAGCCTGGAAGAGAGTCCACTAACCACCCTGTCGAGTTCCATTTTGCCTGGCTGTCAGAATTTTCTAAATACTGCAGTTTATATCCTCACTTGGCCTCGTGTGTGTGTGTGTGTGTGTGTGTGTGTGTGTGTGTGTGTGTGTGCGCGCGCGCGCACCCCCAAGTGAAGCCCTTTTATTCATGGAGCTCTCGGGGTCCATTCCCTCTCTAGCAGGCACAGGTCTCCCACATTTGAGCCCAGGGACCCTCCTCAGAGGGCAGGATACAGCAGCTTCTCTCTCCCCCGACTCCTCCAGCAACCAATCCAGACCCAGAATGAACTCCCAGGGAGGCTGGGACTGGAGTGAAGAGGCACCAGTAGATACAGGCCCCTTCTGGTTGGGAGACTGCACTCACATGGGACAGGAGGCAAGCCCCTTCGGCCTGACCTCTGTCACAGCCTCTGAGCCTGAACCCAGCTTGGAAGCCACTAGCTGTCCCTTTACCCACCTCAG